ACGTTTAGATTGAATGGTAATTTATAATCAGTCACAAGAACGTCGAATCTGAATCACTTGAAAAAAACACGGGGGTGCTTAACTTTTTTCCAGGTGTATATATAAAGGTAATTTTTATATTTTTATTTATGTTGTTGTTATATATTTTATTAGCAAATGTTCAAAAAACTGAAAAGGTTGCTTGAGTGAGTGTCAAACTATAATTAAATTAATCATGGTATTTTATGAGATACGAGGGTTTTAAGTTTGCTGCTTACATTGGTTTCCATTACAAAATAAGATATTTTAATGCTTTAGATGCACTTAAGACACTTTAGTTCCCTTTGAGCAAAAATAACTATTGTTTTCATTAATTCTTTATTCCATGACATAATAAACATTTCATTTTTTGGTAAGAAAAAAAAAATTACCCTGATACAGAAAAACCAACTTATGAAACATGGTCTGATACATTAATAACACTGGATGAGAGATTTCACAACCCCGACCAGAAAAAACAATCAACAGGTTTAAGGACCTATCATTTTAGTGTATTGTTTACATTATCTGGTATTTTGTCTAGTACTAAATATATAGTTTTGGCACTTGTTTCAAAAATATTGGTACTAATAAGAATTTACTTTATAACTGCCAATGTTCAGTAACAGAATGAAGCCACTGGTAATTTCTTTTTAAAATCTTATTGAAACTTAAAAGATAAGAAAGCACTCAAAATGTAGTAAGCTAATATTTGTAATTCCAGCTTATGAAGGGTAAACAATAAAAAATTATTCTTTTAATGTGTTGTGAAAAAAGACTTTTAGGAAATTTGAAGAATACATAACGTTAGTTTGTTTACTTATAAATATGATTAAAATAGTAGACTAATAATGTTTACTTGCTCAAATAATTTTGTCCTGAAATACTTAAAAGTAGTTTTGATTTTACTTTTTACTTACTTTACTGTAACTGTAAGTAGAAAATGTGATAAAGTAATGCAAGTCATACAAAAGATAAATTTTTAATAATTTAATTAATTATTGAAAAAAAAACAACAACTGGTTACTAGAATTTCACTAAATTATACTTGTCCCATGTGTGTTAATTATTTGATCAGAACTAAAAAAATGACATGGAAAGATTTGAAACATAAGTACAAAGTTCATTAGTTTGTACCAGAGTTACTTTATAAATAAAAGTGTAGAAATGGAGAAGTACTTACACACGAATAAATGATAATTTGTTATTAACATCTACCCTAAAATCGGAGTTGTAAATGACTTAAATAAAGTTTATAATAATGACATTTAACTTAACCTAGTTCACACCGTAAGATTCATTGCCCACAAAAAAATGATAATATAAATAGTGCCCAGACAACTGTTACATCTGTCACAACGTAGCCAGCCTGATGAACCCTGTTATTGAGGAAAAGGTCTCGTTAGCACTGGACATGACTTAAATAAAGTTTATAATAATGACATTTAACTTAACCTAGTTCACACCGTAAGCTTCATTGCCCACAAAAAAATGATAATATAAATAGTGCCTAGACAACTGTTACATCTGTCACAACGTAGCCAGCCTGATGAACCCTGTTATTGAGCAAAAGGTCTCGTTAGCACTGGACATGACAGATGTAGTGACATATTGTAACATATTCTTCTTTGCTTTCATTCATAGATTCTTAGAAATGCTTCCACCAACGTTTAATAACTATATAGAGTTCAAACATTAAATGACTGATACCCTCTCTCCAGAAACAGTACATGCATAAAATCAATTGAAGTTAGCATTGTTTATTAATTAAAGACACATAGAAGTAGACCAGTATCTTTGTATACATTTCTCGATACAAGTAACTAATTGCTAATCTATTAAATCCCCAGCACCTACCAAATGATAGAAACATTAATTTTAACTCCTGAAATAAATAAATTCTCCTTCTTAAATAACCAAAATTTGTGATAATTCATTGTTTTAATATCTTTTTAAATAACTTTAGTAACCTATTACTACTGTTACCTAAAAACAGAAGTTAAACCTAACACTAATATTAAACCGAGTGGTCATAACATAAGTCTTAACCAAACTAAATGAAACTAAATAATTACTCTGTTTAAGGAAATATTGTAAGACTAAAAATATAAATGCCATTTGGAAAAGAAATGATGCTAGTCTAAAAAATCTTGAAAAGGTTGACATTTTTAGCAACATTAAGTTAGACACAAATTTATTCACTTATGAAACCTTTGATATTTTATTTTTTGTTTTATTAAATTCAAATATTTTACATTTATCTTTCTAACGTTTATGAAATAGCAGACCTAATTTTTTTAGAAGGTTCACGAGTTTTATGTGTGTGACTGCATGCTAGTAAGTATATACTTGTATTTGTTATAATTAGCTTTTTAAAACCAAAAAATAAATAGTTATCTTTCTATAATGTTCCTAGTTTTAAACATTTTTTGTCAACTTGTATGGAGAACAAGCTGTTGACATCCTGTAATGTTTGTTTGATTATGCTACCTTTAAGTCGTTACTTATAAGTGTTGTAGTTTTGATCAGGTTCTTTAAATATATGATTATATGGACTGTAAACATTAAACCTAAACCTTTCTGTACATAGTACATTAATGAAAGTAAATTGAAATTAGATTTGAAATTTTCCCCTTTACATGTATCTGTTCTGTAATAACTAATTTTTTTCTTTAGCATCTTAACGATGATTGTGCAAGTAATGTGTCATTATCTTTGTTATAATTAAAGAATCAGTTTTTTTTACATGAACGTTTTTTTTCTTTCATAGGCTCAAGGGGATGATGATGTGGCTGTTTCTGTGGAAGACAGCACGTGTGAGAAACACATGGAAGAGTTCTTCCAAGAGGTGAAACTATTTATTGTATTCAAAGCTGAAAAACAAAAAGTATGAAGCATAATTTTTACTGTGTATTAGCTTTATTAGCTCTGGTACTCCTACATATGTTGATATTTCACTGAGTACCATTTGCTGAGTTTTATAACTACATTGGTGTTGTAATTTAATGAAACTCTTTATTGTATTCAAAGCTGAAAAACTAAAAGTATGAAGCATAATTTTTACTGTGTATTAGCTCTGGTATTCCTATGTATGTTAATATATCACCGAGTACCATTTGCTGAGTTTATAACTACATTAGTGTTGTAATTTACTTATTTTTTTAAACGTAAAGTCCCATTTAAACTTTTTTTTTTCCAAACAAGATGTTTTTTACTCACAAATTAAATTCACCCTGCTGAACAGTGCAATAAAATTTACATTTTTCCAAATAGAAGTTGATGTGTTTTTTATTGATAATGAAATTGTGCAATTATCCAATTTCTTTAATATTTTTCAAAATTAATTATTGAAGATTGTGGAGTTTCATCACCAAAAATTGTTCATTTTCAACCTTATTTTCAGCTCGGTCGTTCACCAGCTGTGTCAAAGGCAACAAATAGTATCATAACACTTGGTTTCTAAACTCACAGTGTAAGCCAATCAAACCATCGAGACACTTTATCCATTCTTGGCATACATTATATAGGCATAAGCTAATCAGCATGCTCATTCCAATTTTGCTGCCAAGAGTATGTCGGTACCAATGACACGCATCTGTTGTTATTGAAAGTTTGTGTCAAAACAATGAAAAAAAAAAGTTGACAGTATATTGTATTGATAGATATAATTGGATTAATTATTGTCAGTGGATTAGTAAAAGCTATAAATATGATTGGGAAGGGTTGCTGTATTTTTGATCAGATTGTTTGTCACGTTAGGTAATTGTTAATTACACGAGGTATGTACCATAAAATGGTATCATTTTTAATTGTCTTTATTTATTAACTTACAGATGGAATAATTACATTGACCTTATTTTTTTTTGCTGTCAATGACACTTAACCTTACTTTTTTTATACTAATGGTAGTATTGCACTAAATAATTTTTATTTGATTAAATAATGCACCAAAGTAGACAATATCCCATGACTATCACAATTTTTCTGGCTTTCTAACTATGTGACAAGAGCCATTACAAATTCATGTAAGCTAGTGGATGTGTTTCCCAAGGGAATCAAGCTTGTACTGAAAGCAATATTTACAATTCTCTGTACAGAAAACAATGTAATATAATAAGTCATTTAATAGATGAAACCTTGGCTTTCTGTTGGATATAAATAATGTAGTATTGAATGTCAGAGAGAACTATTGGCAATTTCTGAAACAGAGGATATAACAAATGGGCATCAGAAGAGGGTCTGATTTTCTGTTTTATTGCTTTGTAACCAAATATGATTGAATGCTATGAAAATTATGCTTTTCCTGAGTGATGACAATATTATAATGAGTAATTTACAGTAAATTTCATATTTCTTGGAGGGGTGGCAAATAAATTAGAGAAGAGGGGGTTGCCTAGAGAGAAAATGTCACAATTTACACACTAGGGGAAATTCAGGATTTTTAAAAATATTTCCTTATAAAATTATGAACTTATAATATGGATTATTAGCTATGTTTTTATGCAATACTTATAAGCTTTTATTCTGAGTACAGTCGAAGCTTGGATAGTGAATTGTGGGAGAATGAGCTATTATTTTGGATGTCAGCTACAAAATCACAACAAATTCTGCTTAAGGTTTATATGTGCATATCGTTATGACAAACTGCAAAAGGACTCTTAAGTGTGTTAAAGGTCTTGTAAATGATTTTTTAAATTAGATTTGCAGCAGTTCCTGAACAATCACAATGTAAACCCGTGTTAGAATTTAAATTTTTTTTTATTCCTTGTGTTTTTTGTTCTGAGGAGAGCAATTTATAGATCTCCTTATATTTATCAAAATGAAGGATTGATTAATGTTACTTATTTTTCAAATACAGTTTGTTTTATTTATGGTGAGTAAAGTTCAAATGTTTATGGTAGTTCTATCTGGTACTTAAATTAATTATTATGTGTATAATGATTTCAGATAAAAAAATATTAGTTTATATTGGCAATTGTTAATATTTTTATTGTAAACTTGTATCTATACACCAGTTCACTTTTCCAGATATTTCATTTGTATATTAAACAATTTGAAGGTAAACATGACATTTTTTATTCAGAGGTGTGTTTTTCGTGCGTATCTATAGTTTAAATGTGTTCGTAAAAATAGACAATTCCTAAATCCATCGTTTTAATATGAAGTTTGTTGAAACGTAGGTTGAAGAAATTAGAGAAAATATAGAAAAAATTCAAACCAATGTGGAGGAAGTGAAGAAGAAACACAGTGCTATTCTTTCAGCACCTCAGACAGAAGAAAGTAAGCTGTGCTTATTCCAAATTTAGCATATAATTAAAATATATATATGTATCTAATTCACCATCTTACCAGAAAAAAAATTCTCAAAGATGATACAAAAATTTGTAATGGAGTTTTTATTAAATTGTATAAGATTCTAAAAACATTGGTTAAGAAACCTTGGTAATGGGAAAATACAGTAATACCCTGGGATTATTTCAGATTGGTGAGGTGATACATGAAACATGAACACAGAGCGACTTCTTTTAAAAAACAATGTATTTGTGATCTTGAAACAGTAAATTTATGTTGAAGTTGTGTAATATTAATTTAAACCTATCTAATGTGGTAAATTTTACTGTTTTTTTTGTTTTTAATAACCAACAAAAAGATAAAAAATTAAAAATTCAACCTAAGTTAAAAATTCTGAACTAACATTAGATTGACAAAGTAAAATAAAATTTGTTTTATTTTCTTCGTCAAACAGTTTTAACGTTTGTGTATAATAATATGAAAAAAAAAACATATTATTTTTATGCTACATTCTTTCACAGTTTACATCAACTATAATAGAAGGGAGGGGGGGACTACCCAGAGGCCCGGGAAAATGAAACGTATTTATGCCGTAAAGCCCGCAAAGCATCTTTAGGCCATATCTTCATTTAATGATAAAAACCATAGTTTTTGG